GTATGTATGTATGTATGTATGTATGTATGTATGTATGTATGTATGTATATGTATATATGCTATAATATTATTAATGGATTGTACTTGACTACAGATTATAGTCTATATAGAGTGACTACAGGTGAAGACTATATGGTATAACTATGAGAATAACGGTTATAGTTATAATATAAAATAATATGTATATTTAAAAGAAATTACACTGTATAATTATGAGGAAAATGGTTGCAATCAGGGTGTATAAAACTATGTATACTTAAATGAGATTTACAGTTACAACCTTTGCAACCATTCCCATGATGGTGTGATCAAAACTCAGATGTCTGACGACTGACTCACATTTACGACAGGTAGCCCTGTCTTGTTTAGTGATCGTTCAAAGTCACAACGGCGACGAAAAAAGCCACCGACGCCCATTTTTCACACTTACGACCGTTGCAGCATCCAGATCCCCGGGGTCACCTGATCCAAATTCAGACGCTGGGCATCCAACTCGTATTTATGACGGATTGTGCAGGGGGATCCACCTTTTTGCGACCTTCAGGTGAGCCAAGTCCAGAGTGGGGGGGAAGCCGGATTCACTTAACGATGGGGTTAGGAACTAGGTCCTTAAGTTTACTTCGCCGAGGTCTCACTTAGCAACCAAAGCGTTTGGGCTCAATTGTGGTCATAAGTAGAGGACTACCTGTCGTCTGGGGCATTGTATACACCTACCATCTCAGATGTGGCGCCCTTCTTTTTAATAATTCCCGATCTTTCATAAAAAATACATAAGGCGTCCATAGGGAGCCCTAATCAATCAATCAATCAATCAATCAGTCAATCAATCAGTCAATCAATCAATCAGTCAATCAATCAATGAAATATATTCATAGCAGAATCACCTATAGATGCTGCATCCGATCTCCTTCCTCCTGGCCGGCCTTCATTTCCTCCTCTTCCTCCTCCTATTACCAGGTCACATCAGCCTTCCTCCTCCTCCTCCTCCTCTTCCTCTTCCTCGCTGCGTCGCTTTCCCCCGTTAGCAACCGCTCCGTTGCTACCCCCGACGTCACTTCCGCCCTAGGGCGCTCTTTCCAAAGGGAGACTTCCACCGCCACTCTGTTGCGCTGACTTCTGGGAGTTGTATTTCTCCGCCGCGGAATCCCTCGCTTTCCCGCCCGCGGGACGCCAAACGCGATTTCCGGGGATGGCCGCCGCCGGCGGAAGCTGCGCGGGGCATCTCGGGAGTTGTGGTTCCAAGAGTCCCGAAAGGCTGATCAACGCTGCCCGGTGGGGGGGCAAGAAACGGGTGTTTCTCTCCACCGTTCAAGGCGGGAAGCGAGTCGGGTTCTTCAGCACGTGGGAAAGCTCTCCGGGGGAGCATGAGGCGGACTCGGGCGGAGGAAAAAGAGAAGGAGGCGAAGGTAAAGCTTAGCCCAAAAAAGAAAAGCAGCCCGGGCACAGAGGGGCTGGCTGTGCAAAGCCGAAGTGATGCGCTGAGTTGATACACACACACCCCCCCAAACCCAAGTGTGCAAATTCAGCGTGCAAACCTCGGTTTTGCACAAAACTGATCGAGGAGAGAAGCCGCCCTTTAGAAGAAAGGAGACCTTTTCTGTTAAGTGAGAAAAAAAATTACCAGCGGGACGACTTGCCACTAGAAGTGGTGGCTGCTTCAACAACTTTTTTTTTCTTTTTTTTTTAAAAGAAGAGATTGGACAATAGTTGGTCTGGAATGGAAACAGGTAGCCCTCGACTTACAACAGTTCATTCAGTGACTGAAGTTGCATCGGCACTGAAAAAAAAGGGGGGGGACTTGGGACCATTTTTTCACACTTAATGACATTTGTCACGTGGTTGACATTTGGATGCTTGGCAAACGGATTCACATTTATGACGGTTGCAGGGTCCCGAAGTCAGGTAATCTCCTTTTGTGACCAAAGTCAAAACCAGATTCCCTTAAAAACATATTACTAATTGAATAATGACAGGGATTCACCTGGTGACAAGAAAGGCCTTAAAATGGAGGGCAAAACGCACTGAAAGGCAACCACAAACTTTGGGGCTCAAAATTGTGATCGTAAGTCGAGGTCTACCTGTAACGTCACTGAAAGTAACGTTACTTTTTAATAAGAGATACTAGTTAGTGAGGCGGTTGTTGAGTGAATCTGGCCTCGCTCCCCCCCCCAGCCTTTGCTAGTCAAGGGGGAAGCCAAGATTCACTTAACAACCGTTACAAAAGGGGATCATGTAATGCCGAGACACTGCCGCCATCATAAGTATGAATCAGTTGCCAAGTGTTTGAGTTTTGCTCATGTGACCAGGGTTATTAGTTATAGTAGCTGCCTTGAGTTACGTATAAAATAAATACAGGTCAGATAACAAATAAATATCAAATAAATAAATAACAGCAATGAGAACAAAAATATCATCTCCTGAAGGAATTAAGTTCAGATTCAGTCCTTTCAAATGCTAGTAAGAAACAACTCATTCCTTCCCTGATGTTTCTGGCTGCATTGCAAATAACAAACTTATATCCCTTTCCCTTACTTTCTAAAAGAATACATTGTTTAACAATGCAGCCCAAATAACAGATAATTATTTAGAAATACATTGGCCTTTAATGTATTTTATTCTCAGGCCCAGTTGAGATAAGGTTACAATTGTTGTGAAGCATGCCAGCAAGAACTGTAACTTTGTCTTTCCATGTTTACTTAACCCATAAACTGCAACAGGAAAGGCAAGTTTGATTGCATTATTTCATTGTGTTTGTTAGTTTCATTTGTTTTTGTTTTTTTCAGAATTAAAGATTCACTGGGATAATCTGGTTTTTATAGCGAGAGTTCGTGAGGGTTCCTCATTTAGAGGAAGTAAAGTAATTAGTTGGATAGTGATTACAAGGTTAATTCATCACCCCAGCCCATAATGTTTGCATGAAGTTGTCTCAGTGCAAGACAAGAGTTGGTTTTACAAGCCATAATTGATGGCCTGTAATGTGGAGGGAACTTTGTCAACCTCAAATTGTTCAGGAAACTGAGCAAATCATACTTTCAAATGAGCTGCTTCATCCTTGTGAATTATGGAGTATACAGGCATTTAAGTCCTATTTGATGTCATGGAGCACTCCAATATTTGCATGGTCAAGACGAAGCTTTTAGAACAATGTTTCCCAACCTTGGCCAATTGAAGGTGAGGAGACTTCAGCTCCCAGAATCCTCAGCAATGGCAGTGGAATTCTGGGAGTTGAAGTCCATATCCCTAGACATGGCCGAGGTTGGGAAGCTCTTTTCTAGAAGTTCAAGGGTAGGCCTTCAGGTTTCATATCTCTGGAGTAGAACGTAGTCTTCCAAGTGGCTTCCTGGTTCTTCTGTGTAGGTGGATAGTCAACTTCTTTACAACTTTAGATAATATCAGAACCATGTGTTGTCATGGCTGAAGAACATAATGTGCCTCAGGAATGAGGTTCTCCCTCGTTGGATTGGAATCAGGGGTCTTCAAACTTGACAGCTTTATGACTTGTGGACTTCAACTCCCAGAATTCCTCCTCCAGTCATACTAGCTCAGGAATTCTGGGAGTTGGTAGTCCACAAGTCTTAAACTTGCCAAGTTTGAAGACCCTTGGATTGGATGATGGCATGGTGAAGGCTTTGGAGTACTAGAGTCACAATCTTGGTGTTCCTACTGGGACAACTTCGACAACTTTTCCACATCTCTAGTTCCGCTTTCAGGCCGGGGTGTTTCTCCGGCTTACCATTCTGCTTCCTGATGTTACTGTCACTGCTACATCAATCACCACCGTTGTCTTCTGGTCCTTGTCAACTATCACAATGTCGGTTTGATTACCCAGTATCTGCTTGTCTGCCTGTATCTAGAAGGATCTTAGCCGTCACATTCTCCTCGAATCTGTGTGGTATATTCCATCTGGGCTCGGGAAGGTATAGCCCATATGCTGTGTAGTTGTTCCTGTACACAAGGCCAGTTATATAAAGGTAGTTTACGACCACAATTGAGCCCAAAATTTATGTAGATAAATGAGGCAACTTTAAAGTGAATTTTGCCTTGTGTTATGACCTTTCTTGCCACAGTTGATAAGTGAATCAAATTAAGTTACTAACACTGTTGTTAAGTGAATCTTTCTGTCCCCGGAGCACTACAACCATCATAAATGTGAACCAGTTGCCAAGTGTCTGGATTTTGATCTCGTGTCCCGTAGGGTGTTGGAAATAGTTGTAAGTGCAAAAAGCAATCATAATTCACTTTTTCCCAGTGCCATTATCACTTTAAAAAGTCACTAAAAGAACTTAAAAACAGTCACTAAAAGACTATATCCATATATCCATATATCTATATCTAATCTATAGCTATCTAATCTCTCTCTCTCTATATATATATATATATATGTAGTCCTCAACGCTAATATATATATATAGTCTGTCTGTCTATCTATCTATCTATCTATCTATCTATCTATCTATCTATCTATCTATCTATCTATCTATCTATCTCTGTATCG